AAAGTTCATCCTCTTCCCCTGCTGCTGGTACCACAACAGAATGAAAAATAATCCTGTGCAGCTGCCAGCAAACCTGCCCTTGTGTTATCCAGGGAGGGACACAACTGGGAAGCAATGAAGCGGGGTGGAGGGGGTGGGGGAGTATGTGGGCAGAAAATCCATGCATTTTTTTCTGCCTAAACTGAAAGATTCAAAAATCCTAAATTGGTGAAATACAAAAAGCAATGACAGCCTGCCGTCTGTGCAACACTGCTGTCCTCCAAAAGCTGCGAGACTGATTCATAGATGTCAGGGACTGGAAGGGACCTTACAAGATCATCTGGTCCAGTACAATCAGTGAAAAAATTGAGACAAGAAATGAATCTGTTGACTCCACAATACATGATCCCATGGCTTGGCCCCCGTTGTACTGGCAGAGAAGGCATGCACAGAAGGGGAGCTGCTCCAAGACTGCATGGGAACTGCTATGCTCTAACTGCCATGTGTGCATGAACCTACAGGGATAGAAGCCAGCTAAACTGCCTCAACTTTAACTGCATCCAAAGCAGGGGTTTGCTACATTTGCATGGCTACAGGCTCCTGCACAGGTGACTGTTACAGAGCAGCATCTCCCCCTCCTCTTTTGAACCCGTTCCAGGCAAACGTCTGTGCATGCCCTGAGAACAATGATGTCATATGGTGTCAAAACTCTTAGAGGAGCTGACACGTGGCTTGGGTGGTGGTGGAGAGAAGCTGGGTCAGTTCAGAGACTAGGATGCCAAACAAAAATAAAAGCCAAAAGAAGAAAAATATAGGGGTTGCACAGGCGTTCTGCACTGACAATAGGTCTTGGGCAGAGTGCATCCCTTATGGATAGTTAATACAAACACAGGCAGGCTTGGGTACCTGATCTTCCACTGAAGTAGCTCAAATATGTTGACCTGTCAGGCACACTGCCAGGTCTCCCCCTTGATTATGTGATAGGGAAGAACTACACAGAGGGTTGGGGCTTAGAAGAATGATAGAAATCTGATGACCAGGGCATTTACATGACTGCAGGTTATTTCTTTGTTACTGTTTGTACTGTTACTGACAGCTATTCATTTGCTAATGGCATATTTAAATCTGCCAGAAGTGCCTCATGACGGGGATGCGAGTTGTTTGCATTAAACCAAACCAAACAAAGACGTGTAAAGACAAAGTGCATCCATTTAAACAGACAAAATTGTGATCAGCCACAATTATTCTATAATCAATTTTTTTGTGGTTAGAAATCTCCATGTATTGATTGCAGCCATAGAATTTGAAACAGCTTGTGCAATTTCAGCAGATCAGAACATTTTCCTAACCCAGTATTCATGTTTGTATTTGCTGCCCTCTATTTTACCTTGAACAGGGTAAATCCTTCTTTAAGAGTAACAAAACAGTAAAAGGAAAAATAGTTAATGTGCATTAGGAAACAAGATGGATCTTTTACTATTACAGCTTTCCTGGAAAATGGAATAGTAGCCTGGTTTGAAGACATTTAAATATCAAGGACTGTTCTTATATATTTCAAACAGGAAAACTGCTTCTAAAAATAGAATGTGCAATTATTAACTCACTTGAGATGCAGAGCTTTTACCTCACTGCCTGTGGTTAAAATTAACTGGTCTTTTTTAATGCACAGAGGGAATAGGATGAAAGTAAAATGGATGGTAAAGCACTTTAGGGTATACTACAGAAATTAGACTTAAAATAAAATCAAACTTCATGTGTTCTAAACATAGAAAGTCCTGCTTTGATGAGGTAGGCTGACTATTTTCAGGATTTCATCGTGAATATTATCTGAACCTACCATCCCAGTCTCTTAAGCATTCAGGCAGTCCTATTTAATTAAGATTCAAAGTTTATTACTACCACTTTAGTTTTAATTAAAGTGTTTTAAAACAAAAGAACGGCAAAGAAGAACGCATTGCACATTGTGCTGTAGAGGAAAACAGTTTGTCAGATTCTTAGGAAGACCTCATTATTTCACTGTACCTCTCGCGTAGTTGAAGAAGGAAGAACATAGCCATCAATGGACAGCCCGTGGCACTAAAACAAAAACATTAATTTAATAAAGGTTAAAAATGGCCCTTAAAAACAAACCTGAACCCTATTGATAGGGTGACCATATGGGACCAAAGGAAATCTAGGACATTGCCCCCTCCTCCCCCACTCTCAAGTCAGCGGTGCTGCTGCAGCAGAGGCGGAGGCGGAGCAGCATGGTGTACTAGGCAGGTGGTAGCAAAAGCGCTTGCCTGCCTGGTGTACCATGCCACTCCACCTCCCCACTGGACTTTGCCTCGTGCCCCTGCGATTTCACCACCTGGTTGGGACCGGCCTGTGAAATCCGGGATTGTCCCCGACAAACCGGGACATATGGTCACCCCACCTATTAACGTTACCTTTGACTTCAGTCAGTTTTTTTTCCTGGAAAAGTTGCTCAGTGATATCAAACAGTCTTAAAAACAATGATACTCAAAACACGTTGTTTCACTTTTGCCAAAGAAATAATCATGCAACACCAAAAAACCATGAGAGAGGAAATCTGAATGCTATAATGTAAATAACCCTATGCTGCACTTACACCGAAACACTACTTGCCTGAGTTGTTTTTTGGGGGGTGGGGGGGAATTGCCTGTCTGTTTTCCCAGGCAAACCTGAAATATTGTCTTATGGGTTGTTCATAAGAAATAAAAACACTTGCTGTCTGTGAAAAATAAGAAGCACTCTCTCTCTAGTAAAAGATCCCTTGGCAGTTAGCAGCCCCTAAGAGCAATGAATGAAAAATTCTTTGGAAATAAGCAACAAAAATGCTGAGGGACCAGATAAAATAAGCTTGGGGAAAGGACTGAAGCTAGAAACACACAACTTGCCTAGGAAAACTATGGGAGGACAGGTATTAATGATCTAAAAGGATTTTGGGAATCGTGATGAGATGAGGATAAGCAAACAAAAATTTAGGTCGGATTTAAAAGGATTCATGTGAGCCTCAAAAAAAATCTGACCAAACACCATTTTCAGGTAAAGTAGGTCAAGAAAGAAATGGTATACACTGTACAGAGGAACCAGAAAAGTCTTCAGATGAGAAAAATTCACCCAGAGAAAGCTAGGCAGCATTAGCTTTTCACATATGGAAGCACGTTAATATCCAGCTATTTCCATGGTAATGTTCAAAACTTAAATTGGTTTAAGGCTTAATATGCCAGACATCAATCAGACAGCTACTCAGCCCTAAGGAACCTAAAAAGCTAGGTATATTAACTTAAATTAAATTGCCTGGCAAATATTGACAATTTTACAATTGAATTTAGTTACATTTTCAGTTGTTTCCTTCCTCTTGTTGCTGCGTGGAAATTACTCAGACACAGGGAAAATAACTGACTATGGAAACAGAGACATGCTGGCTATATGAAGTGCTGTCGTGTTCAAAGAAAAGCCATTTTACTTCTCATTTCTCTCATGTTCAGTAATTTTAGGTGTTGTTTAATTTCATAGTTTCATAGTAGTTAGGGGTCAGAAGGGACCTAAACAGATCATCTAGTCTGACCCCCCCGCCACTGGTTGGAGCATACGCTGGGATCACACGGACCCAGACGTGTTTATCCAACCTCTTTTTTAATTTACCCAAGGTAAGAGCGAGGACCACTTCCCTAGGAAGTTGGTTCCAGATACTAGCCACCCTAACAGTGAAATAGTGCCTCCTAATCTCTAACCTGAACCTGTTCTCCAGCAGCTTTTGGCCACTGATCCTCATTCCCCCAGGTGCTGCTCCGGGGAATAGGACCCTTTCTATTTGCTGCTGATCTCCCTTAACAAGTTTGTAGGCAGCCACCAAATCCCCCCTCAGCCTCCGCTTGCTGAGGCTGAACAGGTTCAGGTCCCTCAGCCTCTCCTCATAGGGCCTGCCCTTTTGCCCTCCAGCCAAGCGGGTGGCTCTCCTCTGAACCCTCTCAAGGCAGACCACATCCTTCTTAAAGTGCGGTGCCCAGAACTGGACGCAGTACTCCAGTTGAGGCCAGACCAATGTCGCATAGAGGGGGAGTATCACCTCTCTGGACAGGCTTGAGATGCATCTTTGGATGCATGACAACGTGTGGTTGGCTTTGCTGGCTGTGGTCTGGCATTGGCAGCTCATGTTCATCTTGGAGTCAATGACTCCAAGATCTCTTTCCGCTTCTGTGCTCACAAGGGGGGAGCTCCCCAGCTTGTATGTATGCTGTGGATTCCTTCTCCCCAGGTGCAGCACCCTGCACTTATCCACATTGAAGCCCATCCTATTACCATCCGCCCACTTCTGTAGTCTGTCTAAATCTAATTGCATCCTCTCTCTCCCTTCAAGCGTGCCTACCTCTCCCCACATCTTGGTGTCATCAGCAAACTTGGACAATGTGTTTTCCACCTCCTCGTCCAAGTCGCTGATGAAGATGTTGAACACTGTAGGCCCCAGGACCGAGCCCTGGGGGACCCCACTGTTCACATCCCGCCAGTTCGAGTACGACCCGTCCACCACCACTCTCTGGGTGCACCCCATCAGCCAATTTCTGATCCATCCAACTGTGTAGGCATCAATGCCACAGTCGCTCAATTTATTAATGAGAATGGGGTGAGAGACCGTGTCAAATTTCACACCAAGGCAAGTTAACAGTAGCACTTTAATAAGCCCAGGCAGTGAATACACAAAGAATTCCATTTCTCATGGCACTGATTAAGCCTATCAGGATTCAAAACTGTGAAATATCTGGACTATTTGGACATGTAGCACATATTCCTACTTTCTAGCATGCAAGAGTAGTTTAGTAAACACTCTTGACCCTAACAGCAGAATTTAAAGTCAAATTGATAGTCAAACTGAAGTCAGTGGGAGTTTATGATCTCTTTTTCATACTACTTCTTAGGGCACACTGTTTCAAATGCCACACCATATTGAACTTAGAAATAACTTCAGGGGTTATTTTTTAGCAGAGCCCAAAGTGGCTTTAGAATATAGACGCACAAAAATTTGCAGAATTTAGACATTTTTAAAGAGCAAGCAACAACTTTTTCTTCAATTTCCCCATTCAGTTATGAACTGGAGTGTGACACCCTTCAGTGACAATGACCATGACCAGTTTAAGATAGGAAACAATGGAAATTTGACGTGCAGAATGTAATCAGTCAGTCACAGTTTACTGCTGAATTTTAGAAGAAATACACTGGTGCAAACGTGTTTCAGTAGAGCTTTTTTATGTCAGATATTTCCACAAAATACTAGTTTCCAACCATACTACCTTCAATCCACAGCATATAATGCATCTGAAATACTATCCACCCAAGGTTATATACAGCCTACTTGTTTCCCACCTTCTATTACCATCAACTCACCTTCTGAAGGATTTTCCAGACTTTTTGATAGAACCCAACAGGAACTCTATTAATGGCACCATCAAGCCTTCTTCTGCGGAGCCACTGCCCTTGACGATCATCCCAGCTGATATTTACACTAGTCCCCGTAAGGGACGAAGTACTAGTGGGAGACGATGGACTACTGCCCTTCTGCAAGAGAGACAGACCACTTGTTGAACTGCAAACACCAATTCTTGCATATTACATCATTTTGCTAGTTTCTGAGTAACACTACTGATTGATTTTGAAAATCTTGATAGAACATCCTTATTGCTTGACCTGATGCTCTGCATCAAGTTCCCTTAGAAAAGCCTTCTCCAATAGTCAAGGTAAAGATCCGTATAAAGCAGGGGTGTCAAGCTCACCTGGGACCCCAAGCTGGATCCACACTATGGGTCTCCTCCCAGGCCAGTCCCAGCTCAGGGCATGGGGATGGCCTACATGGTCACTGGCAGCAGGTCCAGCAGTGGCATGGGGTCTGGTGGAGATGGGGGATAGGGGTCCTGTGGCAGCAGATATGAGAGTGTCAGTGGGTGCATCTACACATGTACCCCACTGCGCAGTTGATATTGCAGTCATTTAGTACTCACTTTAGCAAGTACTAAATGATTGCACAGTACTCGCTGGTACTGCACAGTCCTGGTGGCACACGGATTGTTTCTGACCCTACTGTGCAATAGCAACAAACATCTCATGTAGATGCACCCAGTGGCAAGCCGTGTTGGCCACCTATAGCCATAGCCAGTAGGGCCAAGAGGCCTCAAATTCTGCAGCAGCCCACACCCCACAACCCTTGGTGGCTCACTGGTAGCCCAACAGGCTAGATAGAGTGGTTCTGCAGACCGAATTCAGCCAGTAGGCTGTATTTATAGAGCAACCCCACAGACCAAACTCTCAGTGGTACTGCCACCATAATACTGATGAAAACAGAAATAAGTCACTCTGTACTGTCTTTACAACACCTCCCCTCCCATTCCTCTATTGTTCTTCTCTTCAAGTATTGATTAGGCTTGCCGCCCCTTCCCCCTTTCACTTATAAGATCAGCCTTTATTGGGGTAGAGGTGGAGGCAAACAGTGTTAAAAGCAATCTGAAACAAATGGAAACATGGTCAATACTTTTATACTTTTATTGTAAGCCCAATGGAGGTTTGGAGGCGGACAGAGAAAAGGAAGCAGGCATGCAAAACAGGTTACACTAAACAGAACAGAACAGATAAGCAGATTTGTAGGCTTATTTTGAATCACTGACAAACCACCCATGTGTCCCCCCTTCTAATACAGCATATGGGGTAGCTGTTCCAACTAGGGATTGCTCCAGCATCTTGACAGCTGCAAAAGCATCTCTCTCTTGGGTGTCCTACAGCTAGTGAAGGTATGACTTCAAACCACATGAAAGGAAACATCCACTGCAGGACTCTAGTCCTTGGGAGACATGAGGACACAATGGTAGATTTGCTGGCATCACGATGTCTGTCTTTTGTGGAATTTTAAGAATCCTGCTGGCCCTGCCAGCCCAGAGCTAGTTGTTCGGTGGTAGTTACAAGCCCTAACTGGCATGTCTATAGACCTTATGAATTCACACCAATAGCTATAGAGTAAAAAAAGATATTACAGGGTCTGTGGGTGTGCCTGATATGGCCTTCAAGCTTGGCCTCAGGTGACATATAGGATCTGTAATTTTGTCCAGGGAGGCACTTATTGCAGAAAACCTGCAGGGGTGCATACTGGCCAACATCTCTTTTAGGAAAAGAGATGCCCTGCACTGTTTGTACTTCAAATTCATTTCACCAACCATCACTGTTTATCTTTTTGCTATTATTGACTCATGCAGGCTTCAGCAAGACAGAATTAAAGAGGACAGTGATCTACCACCTAAAGTTGTAGCACCATCTAGAAACATTCCCAAAGCCCACGGAGATCGTACATCTTCTGGACATTCTTGTACAATATCACTTAACTACACTGTGCCCTGTTCTATCCCGGGCCAGGGAAAGCTCTTTGTATCCTCTTGTAGAGCCACTCAGAGCCAGGCACATGGGGGGAGTTCATTGAGATCTGAATCTTGAAACCCTTTTAAGTCAAACTGCTAGTGAAGCTAGTGGGAGTCAGCCTGAGTAAGGACTGCAGTCAAAATACTGGAAAACTCTACCCCCCACCCCCCAGGGCGCAGATGTGATCTAAACTTCCTGTGCATCAGTGGCACTGGGGAGCCAAACAAGAATGGTCATGTTTGCCCTGCCGTGTTTGACTGAAAAGAGAACGTGGTTTTCATTTCACTCAACGGGGGGCAATAAAAATCCTTGCCTTTGCCCTCTTCAATTCGCATGGACTTCAAATTCAACATTTGAATAATGCAGATGTACCAGTGCTGTAAAAATTACTCCATGCCAGGGCTGCTCAACCTCTGGCCTGTGGAAACATTGCACCTGGCCTGTGGGGCTCCAGAAATTTAGCAGCAGGGGAGTGGTGGCCATTAATACAGCCAGCCTCCCCTCCACCAAATTCCCAAACCCCAAGCCCCGCGTGGCTGGTCAGGGCCAAGCTGTGCCCCCTTCCCCACAGAGATGGGCCATACCCCGCTCTGTCTCATGGGGCCTGGCCATGCCTTCTCCCTCCTTGCAGGGCCAGGTCAAGTGCCTTTCCCTGGCGAGGCCAATGTTGGGACTGCCTGATCCCCTGGCCCCCTTCTCATGGCTGGATAGTGTCTGCAATGCTTGCCTTGGGTGCTGGATCGGGACCACTGGCTGGATCCAGCCTGTGGATGAGCTGGGCACTGCCCATCCGGCTTGCCAGGGAAACAAGTTGAGCACCACTGCTCTACACAGATTGACTTCTTTCATCTGTGCCAGTCCTAACCAGTTGTTTACTCGCATCTCATTTTATAACTCTGCATATGAATTAAGTGCACTGAAAAAATGGCACTGAGTCCTGTCCCTCTGTGCGTGGGAACATTGCAACAGAATTCCTATGCAGAAGAAATGGGACATGGGATAGGCCACAAGTATAAAAATGCACATATCCCTGTGACAATACATTTCACGAAGTTCGGGAGGCACAACAGTTGGTCTCCATATACTGGGAGCCAGCAGTCACCACCACAAAGTACAGTTTGTATGTGTACATAGATGTATGCATCAGTTTAGGACAGCTAAGGCAGGCCTCCAGCACTATCCTCTTTGAGGCTTCTGCCAACTACTAAAATATGATGGGAATTTGAGGGCCTGAGCCACAGTGGCTACTTGGAAAACACAAGTTTCTGCAGCAGGGCATGCTGGGAAATAACAGGTTATATAAACAGCTACCACCCTTTTAAGAGTGAGGGCTTAGTAAAGAAAAAGCTGCTGGTGACTTCAACGTAAAAGGATGTCAGGTAGAAAACAAACCCACATTACTTAAGAGGTTTACTTCATCTCTGTGTACTGGGCTGGGATTTGGCCAAAAAATCTTGGTCGAATATACACAGTGAACGATACTCCTGAACCAAGCAGCTGCCATAAGTCCTCTGAAAAACTTCTATCTTTTCCTATCTTTAGCAGTGTCTTGTTTGGTACAGGCCACCCAAATTAGATTTATAGGACTGGTTTAAACATTTTCATTTGTGAGAATTAGGGATCCTGATTTTCTCTGATAAAAAAAATCCCCAATTTTAAGATTAAGTAACCCCAAATCCATATTTTTCCATGATTAAAATGAAACACCACTAACGTGTAGATATAGATTAGTGGTCTTTCATTTTAATCATGGAAAAGTGTAGATTTGGGATTACTTTTTTTAATCCGAAAATTGGGGATTTTTTTTTTAAATCAGAGAAAACCAGGACCACTGGCTATTAAACAATTTTACAAATTTACTTTTGAGAATCTGAATCAGAAAATTAATAAACAAGGGTCAAAACTTTTGATGACAGTTACATATTCTTGTCATTAACTGTACTTGTCATTAAACCAGGGTGCTGTACATATAGGGTCTAGGATAACTACTTGCCTATTATGTAAGGGTGTAGACAGCTGTAACTATGCTTGAACCAGTATCAACTGCTGTGATGCAGCTGTTACATCTGCATGATCATTTAAGGATGGGAGAGAGTAGCACAACTGCTGTCACTTTAACCCTTCTACAGCCGACACAGTGATTTAAACTGTGGCTTCATATGCATTACACTTAAAATCAGAGGGCCTGGTTTAAAATGCTTACTCAGGCCCAGAAGTACACATGAATTTGGAGGGAATTTCACCCAGGTCCCTGGGTGTGTATCACAATGGGGCTAGAAAAGACCATATAGTAAGTGAAATGCTGCCAACATCCTACTCAACCAGTATCACAAGGAAGTTTTTATTAATTAAAATGTATTATAAACCTCTAAAATATAGTGGATGCCACTCCTATTTCCACATTACCTCTAAACATTCAGGGCTGGAAAACAATTTAATTGGGCGGTCAAGTAGGTAATTTCAGCACGACACCTAAAGTTTAAAAGCACTAACGTGGAAAATTTAACTTTAGTTGCAAGAGACTGGGAATAAGAACTCATTCCCCATGAGGGGGAACCCCCACAAAAATCAGAATTTCAGAGAAAAAAGGAAAGAAAAAAGGAGAAAGGAAAATAATGTTCCATAAGGGGAAAGCTGCCTGTTGTAGGTCACTCCCTTCAGAGGAAGCAGAAAAACAGATTGCAAATCTCTGAACAGTGTTTTACCGTTGACCTGGAAGCGTGTATGCTGCTGGTCATGGAATGGCCCCCATAAAAGAACTACAAAACAGAAATAAAAACCAACGAGTCAGACGACTATGACAGGAGAGAAGTAAGGCAAGGTGACACACGTGTAAAAACAAACAAGCAAGGAAGCAAGCAAACGAGGATTAAACTGCCTCCGTTCATACAAAAGAAAAGCATTCCATTAGCTGGCCTGTGACCTCACACCAGTGCAATCCCATTGCTGTCAGAGGGTAATCCTGATTCACACCACTGTAAGTGAAATCGCAAGCTGAGAGATCCTTTATGGCTGAGGACTTTCTGATTTTTTTTACATTCCCCCGTTGCTATGGAACCACAAGCTTTCCACAGAATCTGCCTGAGGCAACACGGATATATATATATATATAAAAAAAAGATTAAAAAAGCAGTCTCCACATGACGCAGAGCTGGCACTGCAAGTTTCTATTTTTTATTCAGTATCCATTATAGTGTCAACAGCTTGTATTAGTACTTAAAAGTTATCCCATATTTTGGAATCAGACAGGCAGGCTGGCAATGCTTAACAAAACTAATGATGCAGCACACTAACAAAAATGGTCAGATGCTGATTGATACCTAGAACAAATTCCCAATATCTTTATTTTCAGTTAAACCACATTTAACAGCACCTTACGGACATGCTGCAAGACTAATGGGCCTGATTTTCAGAAATGCTGAGCACCTGCAGAAATCAGTGCAAATGGGAGGTAGTCAGCATATTAGAAAAGCAGCATATAAAGAGTAGAATATAAACATTTAAAGACAGAATATTCACTGTCAAACTGATGTCTTGGAGTCAGGGTTTTATCCCCGATAGCTCAAGGAGACAGCAGGAATCAGCTGAAATAGAAAAGTAATCGCATGGCAGTAGAAATACATGACTCCTTTTCTGTATCGAAATGGCATCTCTCCTTCAAACTGATGATAATCTCAGGAAGCATCTTTTTGCATTACATTTCAGCATAGCTGCTACTGTGCTGCATCTGTATTCAGAATAATGTAAGAACACTGCTATCTGGTGGCTGGTTGGGTAATCAAAAGCAGAACAGAAAGTCTTAAAGTAGGAAAACACTCAAGTCAGATGCTGCCAATTTGACGTGTGCTACTGATATTCATACTCTTTAATTTGTATAGCTGTATCAATTATTAGAGATTTTCAGAGACTGAAATATAAGCCCTTTTGACTATAACTACAATCTAACAGCAGTTTCATAAGCAAAACTGCACTGTAATAATAAATTAAATCATTTCCTATGTCAACATTGCAGTGTTGTGTATTCAGATCATAAAAAGCTTCTTGGTTCCCACATTTTAGGATGAAGTTTATATAATGACATAGTAAGAGGAAAGGTTAAAATGCATTCCTACATTGCATTAGTTATTTCATCAGCACTTAACCTCCTATTCATCTAGAATACAATACTAGTCTGCAATTAAATAAATATATAGAAAAAACCCCCAAATAATTTGGTCATGTAAATAAAAATTGAATGTATTATACTTCTCAAGGATGTCTAGATATAGTAACCAGCACAGAAAAACTCTAGCTGTCTTGGTACGTACTTTATACTGTATATGAATTGGGATAGTACATAAATCCCTATGCCTGTTCAGATAAGAATGTTTCTTTTCCTTCCAACCTGCAAAATGCCATACTGAACATAGGTCTAACAGTGGTTCTCAACCTTACTGGAATTGAGGCACTCCTCGCTAAACTCCAGGAACACCTCCATTCTGGCATCCAATTTAAAAAACTAATGTACATATTACAGTACTTACCTCCTTGCAGGGATCAGGGCAGTGGGAGTGGGGGATCGGCCAAGCAGGGACAAACTTGATCCTGTGCGTGCTTATCTGCTTACCTCCTCATACCCTGGGGCACCCTTCAAAGGATCTCATGGCACCCTAGTTTGAGAATCACTGATTTAACATGACCCATGTGTCAAGTTGATGTATACCTCTTTGTGGTGCAAAATACTACTTGAATCCAAGATTTTTAGCATTCATATTACTTAATAAAACCAAGAATTCAGTCTAAATTCAGGTGCCTTTACTGCTTTAGAAAACTACAGGTGGCTGATTTTTTTCTAAATTGAATATCTGCATTAAAAAAAAAGAAACATTTCTTTAAAAATATTTTCCTTTTTTTTGTTTTTTTAACAGCCAACTATACTGCATGTGAGTAAATAAAAAGGAAATTCTTGTAACTCACCACGAATGTAACCGAAGCTAGAAATAAAACATTCAGTTTGCAAACTGCTCTCCCCTTTGCACTCAGGACATTTAATCTTTTCTTCAATCCTTGGATGGCATAAGAAGTACTCAGACAGGGCCCTCACCTGTTTCATTTCACTCTTTAGTCTATTAATGCCACTCCTCTCTGTTTTAGTTGCTCCAGTGTGGCCCATTTCATGAATGGAAATTGCAGGGCTGGATGAAGTGGAATCTAGAGGTCGCACTAAAACAGAAGCAAGACCGTTTTATTCATCAAATGCAGCCACTCACTATGTTTAAACAATAATAAAAACCACAAATCAATGGCTGGAAGGCAGGCACAAGGAACCTATAGCTATTATGCTCCTACACAGGAGGCCATTCTAGTTCTTGCATTTTGGCTAGCCCTGACAGCAACCTTAGTCTCCCTGACATGTGGCACTGCTTCTCATCTTTAAAACACTGGGTACAAATCTACCCACAATGCTTAGCTTACTCCTTTTGTCTAGAAAATTCACATATTTCTGCAGACCTCTCCAGATATGATTAAGCTGCCTTATAATAGGGCTGGATTCAAAATTCTTTAGTTCTGAATAATATTTGGAAACTGGAATGAATAATCATATTTGGTGTTTTTGGAGATTAAATCACTATGTTCCATAAATGATCTGTATATTTTTAAAGCAGAGACGCTGCAGACAAAACAACTTAAAATTAACTCTGCATTTAAATAGCTGTCATTTAGCATTAAGTCATAATCAGGGATTTTGGTTTTCTTTGATAAAAAAATTCCCCAATTTTCAGATTAAAAAAGTAACCCCAAATCTACATTTTTCCGTGATTAAAATGAAATCAAAATGTAGACTTGGGGTTACTTTTTTAAATCTGAAATTGGGGATTTTTTTTAAATCAGAGAAAACCAAGATCTCTGGTCATAATACATCCAAGGACCCAAACAGACTACTTACTGCTTCTTTCCACACCAAACTCTTTTCCACTCAGAATATGATGCAGAAGGTTTTTCATATCAAAGGGGCTTAGATTCATTAAGCTTTCTGAAGCTTCTTCACCTAGTAAAAACATTATCAATTAGTCAAACAGCAACTTTCTAGGGAAAAAAAGCAAGGAAAAAATACTGATTAGCCTATCAGACTCTAAAGACCAGGGACTTAACATAGACAATGACTTTATGGTCCATTACAATCTACCAGATACTTGCTTACCTCTGCACTTCACAGATGATAATGGTACTCCTGAAATATCCAGCTCTCCGCTAATCAGGGGTTTACTACATCTCTCTTGTTTGTTAGCTACCTGATAATTTCTTATGGATTCTGTTTTTATTTACATATGGAGTTTTACGCATCTTTGTTCCACCCACTATTTAACTCTGCTGTGCTTGCTTCTCTCCTAGAGACCTAAATAATGGTACTGTGATACCTGTCACAACCCAAAGGGTGTGATTTTTGTTTTTGTGTGCTTCGGCACTGCTAAATTGTCCCCGCTAAATTACAGCTTCCTTGCACGGTGTTTTCTGCTGCAAAAGAGAACCCCAGTGCAAGGGAAAATTTCCCGCCAATTTGAAGCTTTCTTTGCAGGGTGCATTTCTTTGTTGCAGGGAGGAGGAGACTTCACGCTGTGTGAAGATCTCTAAGCGCTGCGGATCCTTACGGACCCAGTGCATTTAAAGCAGGCAACAGGGGTCTGATCACCCTCTAGCCTCTCCCCGTCGCCGAGCGCAGTCCAGACGTATCCCTTCCCGCGCGCAAAAGAACCGGACCCACGGAGCCTAGCAAACTTCGTGTGAATCCTTGACCGATCTCAGAGCTCTTCTACCCGGGTTCGAGTCCTGCAGGTTTATTTTGCCGTCGCCGAAACCCTTTGCGACGTACCCTTGTATTTTTCATCTTTCCGTCGCCGGAACCCTTTGCGACGTACCCTCGTGCCCTGCAGGTTCGAGTTTTGTTTTCTTTCCTGTCTGTAACCGCAACTTAAGCAAGTTTTCCAGCCTGCACCACTGCCATCTCGGTGTAAGTAAACAATCTTTTAAACTACCGCTAAGCGTTTGTGCCTAATTCCAGCTCGACGGCCTTCCCTCTCCGACCCGGCGTGCCCGGGCTGCTGGCCACAGCCCGCGTGCAGCACGGAAAAGGGCTCGGGTCGCTCCCGGCCCGCACAATACCCAAAAGCTTTTCTAAATCTATCTAAACCAACCATGCAGCTGGTCCAATAAAAGACATCACCCATAAAAACTCTTACCTCTCATATTTCCTGCATGGTTATATAACATCCGCACATAAGAATATTGCTTTAGAGTGTTCACTTAAGAGGGGATTTTAATAATTTAACTTAATTTTTTAAAGAGGCAAACATATATCATCCCTTTTTAACATTCGGGTGGAGAGGGAAGAGGTATTTGTTTACTGCAATATCAAAAGTACAAATGGCTTTACCTGAACAGTTTAGACTCCGAGCCAGCTCAGTGGCCATCACCTGAATTATTAATCCAATACGGAGCCTGAGCATCTCTGCAAAAAGGCTGGGCTGTGACCTAACATACATTGCCAAATACACCATTATTTCCTGTGGGAGCAAATTAAAAGACAACTATTTATTGGCAGTCATCTTGACGCTTACCATAAACAGACAGCACAAGAAACGGGCATTCAATTAGGTGCAGCACGAGGAACACTCTTCCTGCACGTTTTATACCTATTTATTACCTGTGTAAGAACTGCAATACTGATGTCTTGTCCGCTGGCTTCGTAAATTAGATTTGTTAGCTCATCAGGTGACAAAGGCCTAGGAAAAGTGAATCAAACAATTAAGAGCAACCATGATGCTTAGTCATTTTGTACATGCATTAAAATGAGTTTTGATACTTTGTTAAGATTCATGTTATGATACAACTCTGCCTGGAAGGCCTGTTACAGCAAAAGACTAGCTATTCTTTCTGAACACAGTATTTGGAAACATTACACCACAGAAATGTGGAGAGGCAAGATGTACACACCTAGGAGGAGGTAACACTTACGTAGTGATGGTTTTTTCTCGAGGCTCAGGCGGAAGGCCTACGGTGAGCTGTTTGTGGTGTGACAGGAGGTCTGTGCAAGCCTGTTAAAGCATGACAGAGAAAGCAAGAGAGTGGCCTTTGTTAACTGATGGGGAAATACTTTTTTAACTCAAGGTGATAACATACCCCTCCTATGGGAATTCTTCATTGTGGACAAATTTGCTAAGGGACACATATTTGGAGAAAGATCCCCAGCTGCAGTAGACTGTCATAGCTCCAGTGAAGTCAATGGAACTATTATAGTTCGACCCAGGCTGATGCCAATGCAAACCAACCCTGATCCCAATGAGAACAATGGTGCAGGGGAGCAGAGTAAGAAACCTATGGGAATATTCCAACCCTTACTGTAATGTTACTACTTGTAGGGGTGGATCCAGAGGGGGTGCAGTAGTACGGCTTTGGATTGAAGTGCACCACAGGAGCCTCCTGGGACTTTTTAAAGGCTCTAAAAGCATATGAAAATCCTCCCTCCCTTCTCCTTTCTGCTCATGACTCCTCCCCACTTCCCTGAATTCCCACTTCTCTGCCTTCCTCTGTTGTCCTGGGGGCATGGCTCAGAAGCAGTGGGCCTGCTCCAGAACTGGGCAGGGTGGTGGGGAAGAACTAGTCTCCAGCCATCCTGTTGCCCCTGTCCCCTCTCCAGCTGAGCCCAGTTCCCACTCAGCCCAGCTGAGTTTGGAGGCTCTCCATCCCCAAACAGTGGAGAAAGCAGCAGCAGCAGGCAGGGGAGCAGGGAGACAGAGGATTGGAAAGGACCAGCCTCTGACCAGGAAGGGTAAGGGAGGAGGGATTTTCATCCTCTTTAAACACTTTGGGTATTTATACACATGATGCTGAAGTCTGCTGGAGTGTGGTAATTACCATGCTCCAGCGGACTCAATTAATCAAATCTGCTCCAACATGCTGTAATTACAGCATGTCAGAGCAGCTTCTGCATGTGTATAGGTGCCCTTTAAAGTCCCGAGAGGCTCCTATGGTGTGGTCTGCCATTGCTGGTGGGGATGAAGGAGGCTAGGAGCAGGAGGTGCAGCTAGCCCTGTGGGTTGCTGCTTCTGCACCTCACTTGGAACATTTTACAGCTAGTAGCCATCCTATGAATAACTGCATACTTTCAAAATATAGCCAATTTATGCCTAAATAGGTGCTGTCATGTGTTACTTTTTATGCTGGTCTTATAAAAGCAGGCTGGCTTCTGCTTAACTGTTGGAGGGCCCTGAACTGAAGCTGGTGACAGTGGAGCAGTATTTCCCCCTTTTTTGGGAATCTAGGACACCTCCTTCAGGGAGATTAAACAAATACCTTCTGCCTAGTTGACTGTCAAGCCCCTATTGTCTTAAAATTTAGACATGCTCCAAACTAGCTGGTCTATTGTGTCCCTTCAGGGGGACAAGCCAACAGCAAGCCCTACATTTGGAGAAACAATACAGTATCTGCAAGTTTTGGAGCTACACAAGCTTTATCAAAACAGGACATTCGCTGAATGAGAGTCACAGCTTTAACACGGTATTACATAGGCTGAAACAGCAAGCCTAAAACATGGCCAGAAATTATAGCAAGGATCAATTCTTGGCACCTTACCATGAACTGGCACATGCAGGTAAATTTAAGGGTATGTCTACACTAATAATTAGGGTCAACCCTCAAATAGCCCAAGCCAAATAAATTGTCCTGAATTTTCATCTGTACCTTGCCTGGAAGTTGCTACATACCTATTCCTCAAGAAAAGCTCTTCAAGAAATCAAATCTGCAGGCTATTTGTATCTACTTTTGTGCTTAACTCCAAGTCAAGCACAGGAAATTTTGGAATTACTGCAACATCTGGGTACAGTTCAAAACACACTGTGGGGAGGGTCAGGCTAACAGAAGGCAAGCTCCCAGGCTGTGAATCAGCAGAACTTCCAAGATCAGGCTGGACTGTTGCTGGCAGCTGAGCTTAAGGATTGTCCAAATAAATGGTGAGAGTGAGGGCACCCATAAGGCTGTCCCTACCCAACACAGTAAACATAGCCTGACAGACAGGCTTACAAACAGCAGAAAGGAAATCAACTTGTCTATAATCAAACTCCATTATTCACTTATCTAGTTCCAGATACTTTGTCATTCTTGTACAACTCAACATAGTTCTACTGTATTGCTCTAAGGTTTTTGGAGCACAAATCACCTTTTTCTTGTGTTTCTGCACTTGTCTATGACCAGGGGTTGTAGGCACTAAAGTAATCCATTATGAACACTTTGGTTTCCAAAACATTTTTAAAGCACTACCTAACCTCTTCCCTTACCTCTGAGTCTGTCATTCTCATTTCATTAATCTATAATCCTCAACTCTTTAAAATACCCAGGCAACCTCTCTCAAGTTTTACCCTGCTTCTCTGAAAAGTTCTAGGCAGGCATGATGGATATCATTAAGTCTTGCTGCTTTTCTAAAATATTCTGAAGTACACTATTTGCTTTAACACATTATTGTGAAGCAATACTAGAAGGCAGCAAGCAGAAGCCACCTTTGAATTATCCTCTGAATGTTAGCAAACACACTCTTCAAGAATCATCATGTTTTGGGAAATGTAGGACCTTTAATGAAGTGACAGACAACCTTTATTTTTGTTATACCTCAGCCAGGACTTCCACTTTCTTTTTTAGCATGCCAGAAATGTATCGGATCAAACCCCACTCTTGATTCAGGCCTGCCTTGCTGTAGAGCTCATTAAGCAGACAACGAACAGTGACTCCATACTGTCCATTTAGCTCTGTATTCCAGTCAGGACCTCTGCCACAAGAGAAACAAAGAAAAGATTACTTTGATTAGATGCATCCAGAAGCAAAAAAATGACAGATAACTAAAGATCCTAAGTCCAGAGACAGGGCAGATGGTAAAACATAGGAAGCAAAACCCCTTTATAAACTGAGCCTTGCAATACTGAGTCAGGCTGTCCAATACTAATGCAGCAGAATACTTAAGAAAAGAGTTTGTAAAAGCAGTATTGAGAAGTTGAGCCCTCAGTGGAAGTCAGTAAGATTTGGGCATATAAATCCCCCTTGCTTTTTTTTGAAAATCCCAGCCTTAAGCAACTGCTTAACTTTAGGCGTGTCAGGACTTCTACTGAAGTCAGTGGAACTGTTCCCGTGCTTTAAGTGAACCAGGTACCTAGATGCCATATTGGACAACGCTGTGCAGACAGAAACCTAGAAGAATAGCTTTCACCAATCACACTGAAGACTGCATCAGTTTTTGAGATGTATCAGGGGCTTCCAATAGATTTTCACTTTGGACTTTGTCATGTTGTTAATCAAATTTCCACACTTTTTGTCCTATTAAGATTGTATTCCTTCATGTAATAGGAAAGGTGTTATAGTGCTGCCACTGTCATGAGAAAAGTACTGAAAGAGGCAGTGATTATATTTCTGTAACTGAGGCCTGGGTATGGGAATTCTGCCCTCTAGCAACAGATTACAGAAATCCAGATGCTCTGGAGAAACTGTTGATGATGACACAGAACTAAGGCTTCCCTTCTTGGAAGGATATATATAACTTTTCACATTTCTAAACACTGGAAAGAAAAGGGCACAAAGAGGAGCTGAAAAAAAGCTCGTTTGTTCATTTCTTCCTCTCCTGACCCACTTCAGGAAGCAGCACAATGGTGAGGAACTTGGCTCCCTGCTGTCTATGTTTCATAATATCATGATAATGGTCTTCAACTATTTTTATAGGGTACATCAAAGAGGATTTGCTTTTCAGAAGATGTTGCTGTCACAAAGGCATAAGACAGGGAGGGAAGAGAATGTTATATGTAGCCAAGTAACAAGGCTCCTCAGTGGAAATGTACAAATACGATAACCAGGGCAAAGAAGATGCAGCAAAATGAATCTTCTAGACATGCTCAGAAAGACCCAGCTGTGAGAAACAGGACAGAAAAGTAAATGAAAGATCAATCTATGGGGCATTAGGAAAGTCCAGCAGGAAGTGAAGCTAACTCTGCCAATATCCCATAGCTTTCCCACAATAATAATAGTAATAATTATTATTATTAAAAAAAACCCCACCCAGATGTGCGCATTAGAAAATTCTCTCTGACAAGTTGACTCTGGATTAAATTAGGGCCCTGTTCTTATCACCTGTTTAGTCACAGGTCTACTGTGCTACATTCAACAGCTTGGAGTAGACATTCCCCAAAGGATTTTGAGAAGTGTTGAGGTTTAAGCCAATGGTTCACTTAAATACAGACAAAACAAATGGTCAGATATTAAAATGTGTCCTACTTGAATAAAGGGATGCACTCTATGCTACTGAAACAAATGTCTACAGTTTCTCCAAAAGTTTTGGAAATATCTATGTGCGTTCCAACTTGCATATAAACTTCATTAACTAAATTAACTGTGAACAACAACAACAACAACAATGAATCAGATCCTGGTTTTGCCTATATGGAGGGCTTACATATTTGATTTCACTGAGCTTTGTTTCAGACATGCAATGCCTGTTCATATTCTTATACTGAACACCCTTGCTTTTGTTATTAGCTGTGTTTACCATCATGTCACCTACAATCTGTATATCCATATATATGTATGTTTGATATTAAATATATTTCATGGAAAATCATCATGGTACTTAAGGTACCTACAAGCCTTCCTATACAGTGCAAGCTTAAAATCAGTACTGAGATTTTGTATGAGGGCAGTCATGCACATATGACTGTACTTCCAGATGTGCAAGGGACATTGCAGAGAAACATCAATAACTTACTTCATTAAGTACAAGATATATAATATATCTGCTTGATCGTGTAGTGTTGGACACTCCTTCAACTGTTCAACTAATTTCTCACAATCCAAATCACCATGAGCATCTTTGGGTAAATGTAAAACAGCTTCAGGATCCTGATTATTAAAAGAAACAGAAAACAAAATAGAAGTACCTGAAAGAACTAATGGAGAAAAAAAGTTCTCGAACTCTCTGGCTATGGAGAGGGAGCCAAGAAAAGGAACACATTAATGCACCTCCTCATCTGAAATATAAATTGATTATGTACTTTGCAGTAAGCTCTTGTGCAGATGAAAAAATAATGACAAATTAAGTCCCAGAAAATGCAGCAGCTGATAGAGAGCCCCTCCCTTAAAAGTCATACTGCATTGTCTCACATGCAACACATACTTTCCCCCCCCAAAAAGAGGCTATAAATTGAAGTGCACATTACACGTGAGAAATACAGTAAGAGCAGTTTCTACCACATACTGGCAAAAGTGAAAGTAAAATCTGCACACAACTCATAGGAATAAAGTAATGAACAGTCTGGGCTCCTTAGCTGCTGCTACTACCTAGTTATTTACTACAAACACAATTTTTTTCCCATCATTCTGCCATTCAAAAACAAGGCGCATATATTCTGTGGCACATGTATGTCAGAAAATATAGTATTTCTGTCCCATTGAATCAACAGAGATTTCATCACTGGAAACCTGTTTTGGGCCATAACAACTAGAAATGATATAAAAGCAGGAAACAAACTATGCTCCTGTGACTTTCTACTACTTTCAAAACTAGAAGTGCATGGGTATTAATCCTTTTCAATTAACACATTTTAGTTGAAAGTAGATTGATTTCCATATATATCTTTACCTCTGCCTACCTAGAAGTGAAGATGTTTATTAAAAATTTTCTTACTGAATAAAAAGATAATGCCATGAATTAAATGAACATGTCAGCAAATCAGATAAGGGCAACACACAACATGTGTTAAATGAATAAAGCCTCTGTTTAATAAGCTATTGAAAATACTACATAACAAATACATATTGAACCATCTATTAGTACCCTGTGTAATACCTGCATAGACAAGCAGTGACCAAGGGGGTTCCTGGCCCTGAACCGTTCTCTAACCACTGTTGGAGTCAACTCTCTGCATTATTGTGGGTTTTGCCTCATGGATCCATTGAGTGACATATCTACCAGCCCTGCCCATGTACTTTCACAAGTCCACCCCACACACTGCTAGGAACACAGTTCCTTGGAGAACAGCTCCAGGGTAGACAGGGTATGGGGAGTACTCTCTCTTTCCCCGTTTTTACTGGTGTCATATTGCTCTGACCCTACTGCCTATCAATCTGCACTTGCCTAGCAGTGGGTGAAGTCAGATTTGCCCCTGAAAGGTGAATGCCAGTTATTTTACTGTTTCAGAGTCACAAAAAGAAACATTTAATACAATAATGTACAGTTAAGTAATATCCAAATGAAGAAGAATCCTCTAATAGCCACATAATCATTCCAAATCCAACTCTACAGCTTACCATTTATGTGTAGCATAAATATTTAAGCAGCTTACCTTTAATTTAAGTGGATGTGGGGAATCAACTAGATTGAGAGATTTCCGGTGAGTGTTTAAAACTTTGGTGGGGAGAGACATGGAAACATCTGAAAAGCCAAGCAAGCAAAAACGTTATTATTAAGAACACATAGAAGGAATGCAAACACCTATGTAAAAAGAATTATGAGGTGAGCATGTCTAAAGCACCTCTAGAAAGCCACGGCACATGCAGCTTCAAAGAAAACTCCATCCTCAGCAGTTTCTCTTCCTTTCTTTAGCACAAGCTGATCCAATATGATTTATAATCTGATGGTGCCCAAAGGCCCAGGCAGCCCAGGGGCTGCATTATGCTATTCTAGTGTCTAGTGAGAGACAGCCTAATCCTCAAAAATGTTAAAATCTATTGACCCAATCTAAGCCATGCATTTGAATCATGTACTTAAAACTGTAAGCATAAGTAGATCTTATTGAGGCAAACAGCCCAAAACAACAGAACACAGGTCAGAAGGAGAGTGAAATACTGTACTACCAACCTAGAAGCTAGGATAAGCACATACACTGTTTATTTCACACTGTTTCTCACAGTCCAGGACAGACTATACATAAAGGATAAAGAAGACAGCTCAGTAAATGTGGACAATATTAACCTATACATTATTTATAAAGAACCTGCTCCAATGCCCACTAAAGTCAATGAGAACCCTTCCATTAACTTCAAATAGACAAGGCGCACTATGTTGATTACATGACTATTTATTCACAGAAAATGGATAAAACTGAATGGCTCCTGGGTACAGTCAGTATATTATTACTATAATATTTTTAACAGTCACATTTTTCACTTGTCCTTCTATTTATGGAATTTATTAAAATCTATTTGCATTTTTTGGCATTAACAATATTTATTTCACAAATTACTAAAATAAAAAAAAATCTATATTATATCTATAATATATATGCATATTATATCTATATTATATATCTATATATAGATTCAATAGCTATTAGATACTGATATAGATATACATCTATATCTACATATAGTTTTATAGATAATTATATATTATATGTATAAAATCTATAATATAATAGATATATTATATAGCTATATCTATCTATATCTAATTTCCAGAGTACAGGCAGTCCTCGACTTACAATGTTTCGAGTTACAGCGTTTCACACTTACAATGTTTATAAATTGACACCCTGTTTCAACTTTACAACACTTAATCCAATGTGACGCCACACCAGTGAACAAGTTCGCTGTGTTGCTCATCTCCCTGGAGAACATCTGTACAAACTTCCTTGAACACTTTCTTTAAGAAAGCAGACAGGACTCCAGAAAAACCTGCAGCCAAGACTCCCGAGAAGACTCCAGCCAAAAACCCTTCAAAAAGTCCAACCAAGAGCCTTTCAAAAAGTCCAGCAAAGTCACCTCAAAGAAGTCCTTCCAAATCAATACAATTGCTGTTTACAATATAAACACATTAATGTAGCTATATTAGTTATCTATAGTCAATCGAGTACAAAAGTCTGGGGGATTTTTAGTGAAAATAGGGTGTCGGGCCTTGCTTCAGGGACCAATCCCCCATTTATAACGTTGTTTCTTGTGAGAAAATTGGTTCCTAGTTACTTTTCGACTTAAGATGCAGTTTTCAGGAACCAGTTGTGTTGTAAGTCTGAGGGCTGCCTGTATAGTAATATGCTGCAAACATGGACTTCACAATATAACCAGAAATTGTGACTTGATTATAATAATTACCTGCAAACACAAGTATAAAATAATTCCAGCCAACAGACCCAGTTACATCTGCTTTCATGTTGTCCAAGTGTTTAATTTAGTTTCAGTTTAACAAAACAACAAACATAGTAACCTCATTAAAAACAAAGGAACACGTGACCTTCTTAATTCTTGGTAAATGACAATTTACTTGCATCGCTGCTTCTCATATTCTGTTACTTAAAAGGAGCTACACAATTTACCTCGAACCAACAGAGTTAAAAAAAATATGGGAGAACATACTTGGAATATCCAACCCCTTTGCTTTGGCCATGATTGACAAGATCTCCTGCGTGGAATGTCCAGCACTGAACACATGAGGGTGATCAGCAGTCCTTGAGAGTGGAGGCAGGTATGACTTGAGTGCTGTACTTTGCAGCATATCATTGATGTACTGGTCCAGCTCATCCTGGCTTTCTGGCAGGAAGCACAGGAAAGAAAAGGTGGACTGAATTAAACAACTGGAAAAGTTTATGTGCATTTCCTTTTTTAAGGTATTACAATTAAAAATAACAAAAGGCAAAAATGAGAGATACAAAAATACAAAGGCCAGATATTTTGCAGGCAAGTGCCACTGTCAACTATTTTTAAAAAACAGAATAACTTGGGGGTAGTAAGGGAACAAAATGTAACCAACATTTCTAAAGACCATGTCCTCATTTTTTCCCTTATAAAGGTAAAGGGTTTTTATGAGCAACCTTACCAGCGCAGGCTCACCTTCCTGGTCAATGCCCTTACATTTATGAATGGTTTAGAAAGAATATACATGCATAAGATAACTACTTGGAGCAATATATGAAAGTGATGTCATCATTGTATTAGCATACGAGACTGACAAACAACTGAACAAAACCATCCTGTGCATATAAATAGCAAAAATTGAGATTTTTGTCCTCCTCTCCAAATTCTGTACTAATGTAAACAAGAGCTATCTTATCTCCTATTCTTATAAATATTTTCAGATAAAAAGTGTTACCTTTATCATAGAAATCTTCTGGATAGCCTTCACATTCATATCCACTTTCAGAACTATAATAGTCTTCACTATGATCATCAAAGAGCTTTCCATCACAGTCTGGATCCAGGAAGCTCAAATACGTATGGAATGATGTGGTAAGAAATTCTGACAGTTGGCCTAGCTTCACCCTGCAAACAGGGAAGTATGCCAGAAAGAATTAACATCTACAGATGTTTATAGGCATTGAGTTTAATTCAACAGCCCTAGAAACCTCTTCAAAATCCAACTAGTCCTTCACTTGATAAAAAGGAAAACAAAAATTGGTGCCAAGCAATAAACATGCCAAGAAAACAGTCATAGACCTGACTGGGTACTACTCTAGTTATAGTAGGGTTGGAGGGTTGTTGTAGATGTGATGGTCCAGGAAGTGTACAAGAGGCAAGGGGACCTGAAGGAGGGTATTTTTACCTAAAAGCTTGTCCAACATATTTCCCAGCTATATAGTTGATATAAAAAGGTAATCACAAGAAAACCCTGCCTCTACTACTCTTAGTTGTTATGTATTCATATGACACTGGTAGCAGTCCAAAACCAGGGTTAGAGCTCCACTATGCAAAGGTGCTGTGCATTCATATAGTGAGAGCACCCGTATGCTGAAGAACTAAAATTCCATATCCCAAACATAGAAGTGGGGCTGACAAGGGTTCATTCACCATAGTTGGAGCCACTTTAATAAAAATGAAATGCTGCAAGTGGGATATAAAGCGGATTTCCCTCTTAGGAAAATGCAGAAAGAAGCAAATCTAATAGAAAAAACAACAGAATGTATACTTAAAATAATGTAGTATGAGCTTCTTTTTACATTATTTTATGTAAAAAAAAAAAAAAGGAAGTGTATATATGTGCATATACAACACATATTAATAATTGAATAATTATGTTCAATTAGGATCATTTCATTTTAAACCATGTATCTTAAAAATAAAACTAACTCTAACCTCAAACACCAAAGAATGATGTTTAATTAAGGTCTAACTTTAAGTATCGGAAATCCCAAAATATTACTCCCTTCATAAAGACTGTAGGTGCTATATTTATAAGTCTGATTATACTTAAAGTTTTACTAAGAACTGTCCTTTGCTATTATCTATCAATCCACCCAGCAGCAAATTCAGGATGAAATTCAATCCAGTGCAGCAGGCCTACACTCTACTTATTTCTACCAAGGATTAAGCAAGACTTAATTCAAAGAAAGTTAACAATATATTTTAGAAAGTGACATTACCTAGCCCCTCCAAAATATCCATCCTCTAATTTTCTTACGCTGGCAAGAACTGATGGATGAATGTCAGAACCATCATCAACTAAAAAGAAAAATGAAAGTTCATAGGGTCTGAAAATAATTTCCTATTTAATATATTTAAAAGAGCATTTGAACATTTTCATACAACCAGTTTTCTTCCTACTAAAACAGTTTTATTTGAAAATGGAAACCAACTCACTGGTTATGATTCCAATAACAGTAGCACAATTATGGGGTTAAGATCTTTGCTGACTTTAGTACTCAAGGTTGGCATTTAGAAACTTTTTCTTAAAGGATACACAAGGCCAGCTCAGCGGTTTACTAGGTGTCCTTTTCAATGCAAGTGAGGCATAGGTTCAAGACAGGCCAGGAGCTATGAGGACAGCTCACAACTCTCAAAAGCCCATGATAGATTTCAAAGGAGTAAAGAAGTGGCTAAGCACAAATGTTAGACACACATTAAGACACAAATGTTAGCCACATTGTTTTCTTGTGTGCTGTTGGCTACAGACTCAGTAGGCCATAACCATTCTATGGACCTCCAGAGTACATCTATTCTGCTTGTGATGGTCAAAGAAATAAAATAAAATTTACTGAGCATTGTATGAGTGATGGGAAAAGTCAGGGTTGGTCTTCCTGTCATCCTCCAACATGAGGTGAGGTATGCCAGCTCTGTTCTGAGCATCTCCACAATCATCCGATTGTCTAGAGCCAGGTAGAAATGATGCTGATCTGTAAACTGGAGAAAAGCAGCAGCAACAACAACAAAAAATATACATAAGTGTGTGCCAGTGCTTTCAAATTTTCAATTTTCTTTCATTCCTCCAGTAAGAGCTAGGCGTACCACTTTGGAAAAAGCTTTAACACAGCCTTGCACAGTACTGCTGTGAAAATGTACAAGCATTAAATCCATTTTCCTATCTTTTACCATCCTGATTATTAATGAAAGAAATTGTATTTCATTTGTCCATAAAAGAAATTACTAGCTCTGGGCAAACAGAATTTTCCAAGGCTAAATTATAGCCACCCATGATAAAGCTACAATTAAGAGTGTAATATTTTGCAGAATAGATAAAAACATTGTTGCAAAATCCAAGCTTCTTGTTAGAAATGTGTATTTAAAAGGACATGTAATATACATTTAAGTGAATAGAAAACATCCTTTCCTTGGTACTACTGGCCATGGCAACAAAATAAGGGGGAGGGGCGGGAATCAGATTCTGTTTTTCCAAAAGTGATACTTATAATTATTGACATTTGTAGCTGGAACATGACTTTCAAATGAAGTCATTAGTAGAATGAACAACTAAGTGAGCAGCAATTCTGAGAAACTATTTATCTCATTGTCTTCATCAAAATTGTAGCTGCCAAAGATTCAACAGAGACTTTGCACTACTGATTGCATGTACCCTTCTCTGAGCCAAAAGCCTAGTGAAGCTGGACTCTGGTTAGGGGAGGACAAAGCTTTATCAGCATTCCCAGCTGGCTGCCCTCCCTCTTCCATAAGACAGCTAAGCAAAGTATAGCTACTTTATCAGTCCTGCTGCGCCTAAAGTGAAGGGACAGTATAGAAAAGCAGAGTTTCATTAGTGATTAGGCCAGAAGTAATTTTCTGGCTCGCTTTGTATGCTCACCTGAGGGGTAAAAGTAAATATTTGATTCCTTATCACGTACAATTTGGAGGTTCCAAGCACACCAATGTGTCGGTATGGTCGCCCACTCAATTTCATGTTCTTGTTCCTCCCTGTAATAATAAAAATATTGTATCTGGGATTTCCTTCCCAAATTACTTAAAAAGGAGAGTTCAAATACCGTTCTTGTACATGGTGTGCTACTAAAACCAATGTTAAATCCTCAGTCAGAAATATTTGTTATGCATATATTAGCTGGAATTGAGACAGAAAAAAGGTTCAAGTGGTATACTGTTACTATCCATCTCAAAGTTTCCACAAGCTCAATCATCATAGATTCTGTACCATACAATCCTAGGTTTCTGAATTTTAACGTGCCTGATTCAAAGTCAGTTCTCACTGATTTCATCTGCCTTCGGATTAGGTCCTCAGAGATGGGTGCTAAATTACCGTAAGTCTTCACCCTCCAGAAACTCCCATTAAGAACAATAGGAGTTGAGCTATTTGCAAGTTTAGCCCTCCCTCAATGTGCATCACAGAAATTGCTATGCTTAATAGTAGTGTCTGAAGCTCGAGAATTAAAAATGACAGCTCCATAAAAAGTTAAGATAATTATAGTATGCACTTGTCTTCAGCTACAAATTATTCTTCTTCAAATTATTTCTGTGTAATAATTCTTTGTACTAAGATTTCTATATTGAAAAAAATCATATCCCTGTCACCTTCTACTGAGACAACTGGACAGGTGTGTGGATGGACAAGAAGGTGCCTTTAATGTTTTTAAAATCTGATCAGGAGGGAAGCAAAGCCCTAAAGAGAGTAAAAAAAAAAAAAGGAAGTAATCAAAACAAGCAGTTACTCCAGCAAAAGTATGAAGCTCTCACTGGCATTTAGGTATATACAAACCTAAGACAGGGAGGGGCCTCTGGAACCACTAAGTCCAGTCCCCAGTATTGGCAGTCACTCACTCTACCCAAGAAATCTCCATAATTGCCACTTTATAGTCCCACAACTACAAGGCATAACACCAAGAGCATGCCACGGATAAAAACAGAGGAGACAAGGGCACTGCCAGTGTTTTGCCATCTTAACAGGAAACCATTTGGGTAATATTTAGTAGTAGTAGCTGCAGTAGTAGTTGATTTACAGCTTTTGCTAAAGTGATACAGTAGAATTAACAATAAAATTATATATTAGATAATAAAATGACATGATTTGTGGTTACTGGTAAAAAAGTATACAATAAAATTACACATTCTACTAATCTGAATGAAAGTAAAATCAAACATAAATGATGATACATAAAAGTAAACAACATGAAGCAATATAAAATACTAGAATAAGAAAAAATAAACCCAGGGAATTCTATTGATTTTGGTCCTTAATTCTTTGTGCAAGCAGTGCAACTACACCTACACGGTCTAGGACAGGCTGCAAGTTGTTAGAGAGGAGTTGAATTAGGTTTTTTTCCTTCCATTAGCTCAGCACTTAAAACTCTCCACTAAGGGAGAGACCAATTTTCCTCTTATTTATTCAAAGAACCAACAAGACCACAAACAGTGATTTAAGTAATCTATTCCATTCTTCCCACAAGAACATATCCTGGTCAAATATGGGATGCATTACCACCTCCCCATGATGACTACAGATCTCAGCGTGAATTAGTCTTGTAATGGCCTCATTGGTTGTGGGTTTGTACTTCAGATATGTAGGTTTCCAGGTCAAAAAAAGGGTTTTGTTAGTTTTATAAAAAGATGAAGTTCTGGGAAAAATCTCACTTTCTGCATATCTGTCTCTGTTCTGGTGTTTTTAATTCTTAAATTTGTATCTTCTTTTAAATATGGGAAAAATATGGTGCAACAGTCAGAATATTTCCCAGGCCATTTTCTGAAGGAGAGTATAATTATTATTTAACCATCCAAACAATGGTTTACTTGGAAGAGAAGAGACTTCTAAAATACACTTCTTAGGGTACCTGATAGGGATACAAGCTCTAATTCTTCTCTGACAGAGCTCTTAATTGAACTAAAGCACTTGCATTAAGCAGACCCGTTTCACGTTGCATGAGCGTTCCCATCTCCACCCATTGTAAAGTCTGGCAGAGATAAAAGCCACATTGAAAAGTAATTAAAATTCTATTTTGGAAAGAACCAAGAGGTCAGTACCCCATAGTCCTGCTCCATACAATAAAATGAACTCTGTCTTGGATCCACAGACCTTCCGCACTGTCAGTACTGTCCTTCCGTCCATCATATTGTAAAAGGATAAAATCCACCACAGGATATTTTTTAATGCTGACATTTTTGTGGTTTTTTTCAGCTCAGCTTTTTATTAAAATAAATTCTGAATTATTTAAAGGAGAACACCTCCTTTAATTTCTTTTTTCTATAAAAGCCATACTCATCTCTTCCTTTCATTACCAAAAACCAATACCTTGGATTTAGCACTATTGATTTCCAAGCCATTTGAGACACATTACTGTTGAAAATCATCTAGTAACCTTTGGGGGCCTATCTGGGATTGTGACATTAATAGCACATGTTCTGCATAAAGTAAGAGAGGGTACAAACACTCAATATTGGGGGTGCATAGAATGGATTCCCTGTTAGCACATGTTTTACATCATTCAAAAACAGATTAAAAAGTAGCAGAGCCAGTTGACATCCTTATTGTACCCCTGTTTTAGTTGGGAAATGAAAGACAGGGCACCACCAATCCCATAATGCACCTTAGACATTGTATTTGAATAGTAAGCAATGATGAATTCTAGGAGAGATTTATTGACAAGTGTTACTGCCACTTTCTTCCATAATTTTAATCTGTTTATGAAGTTCAAAGATCCCTTTAGATCATGAACAGTGTGTGCCCTCGGTAGCTGGGGGGACATGGCTGTGCTGGCGGTGGTGGGAGCCCGGTGGTGGTAAGCACAGAGCTCCTGCAGATGCCACTCGGGTGGAGGGGGCTAGGTGGTGACCACCTGCAGGCACCGCCGGCAGCAGCCAGCAGCGATTGTGGACCGTCCACAGATGCTGCCAGTGGTATCGGCAGCAGGGTGGCAAGGGGCCAACTCACTTTTTGTAAGGGGTGCACCTGCCTTTTTGCAGGGGGTACACCACCACGCATAGAGGGTGCACGTGTCCCACTCTCTACTCTCCTGCCACGTCTTGATGGAAATTATTATGCTGATGTTCTTGCGAGCAGAAGACTGCCTATTGTATTTTGTACGTTGGGGCCTTTTGCCTATACAGGCCTTGACCCCAGTCTTTCTCTAGCTAGGCCTCCCCATCTAAACCCACCACACAGGGTTTGACTCGAAGGATCTAGCCTTTTTCGGAGTCTTGAGGCTCATGGCCCTCTTTTCTGCTCCAATCTGGAGCCTGGCCCCACAGCTAGGGGCCTGCAAGTTCAAATCTGGGGAACGGCCCCGAATCCATGCCACCCCAGTCCACAAAAGGAAAAAAACCCAACAAAACTGCTCCGCACCCAGGTGCACCAGACCACCCTGGCCTTTTAAGATCACGCCTTTTGGCGCCGGGGTCAGTGCACCCCAACATCCTGAGCCCTCACTGGCGCTGGGGCCTATGTACCCCCCAAAAAACATGCCCTAGCGGGCGCCAGGACCCCCACCCCAAAAGCCATGCCCTCGCTGACTCTTCCCTGCCTCCCGCCGAGCACAGCCCTGACTTTCCCCTGCCTCCCGCCACCGAGCTGCCTCAAAACTCGACACATTCCGAAACTTTAGAAACATTCCGAGTGCCCTCATTTCATTTTGAAGTCTTTTGATTCACTTTGATTTCACTGTTTCGAGCTCAAAACGTGTTGAAGCAACTTCAAAACAAAACACCTGTTGAAATTTGCACAACCCTACCAGGAACCTCCAGGTTGTACCTGCTTCATCATTTTCAGTGATATCAGGATGGTACAGTTTTCTAAGCAAAGGCCCATGGTAGGAACCCTTCTGAACCTTTAATCTCTTTGGGGTTGTCCTGCAAGCATGCACACAGCTCTCCTTGAGCTTTCCCTTGCAGGAATCTTCACAAATTGTTCATTGCTAGAAGGGGATGCTCAGTAGAGACAACAGCAGTTTTAAAAACCCTTCCTCAGGTCCTGGGACAGGGAAGGGGGGTTGGAAGGCAAGATCAAAAAAAAGAGAATGAAGACCATCTTTTCACAGCCCTCAGCTTGTAGCTCTTGAACAGGATGCCACTGCAGGGGTCATCATCTGCCATCATCAGCCCCTTACCCATGAAAGGAGTTTCAAAGAGGGGATTAAGGTGCATTATGTTATTTTATAATTTCCTATAGGTCCTGAAATTAAATGGGTCTTTCTCTGCATACGCATCAGAGACCCTTTCTTAGGGCGACTTGTCTATGGGGTCCAGGTAGTGCTCAGCATAAGGATGATTACCACAAAAGAAGTGCACATGATCTACAACTACTACCAGATGTTTAAAACAAAGAACACTCCATGTAATTAACCTCATCATCCACTTGCAAAAGAAAACCAGTACAAAGTAAGGTAAAATCTGGGCCTAAACCAGGCCTTCCTACCCATCAGGAAGATAAGAATTCATTTCTCCCTCCAAGCAGCATGAGTGATTTTCTGATTTTTTCTGCAAGATTTATTTTGCTCAAGGCCCAAATTGAATTATCAAACAAACTTTCTGAGGCTGCTTCAAGCTCTACCTGTAAGCCAGGGGTGTCAAATTCATCACACCCTGAGGGTGCCGAGACCTATAGACAGCACTGTAAACCTAACTGCCACTGGAAATACTGAAATGGACCAGGTAAGTTCTACCCAAAACAGATATCCCTGCCCCTGGTAAAAAGGACCTACCATTGCTGAATCACCCCCATAGTAGACTTTCCTAAGGAAAGAGAGTCCTATGATTCTGTAATCCTGATCCCCAAAATACCCACACCCCTCTGGCAGTAATAATTAGAAAAGTCCACGGTTAATGTTCATTTGGACTGGAATTCTAACTAGAGCCAGGTGAATCTTCTGAATAAATCAGTTTTGTTAGGGGAGCACTGATATAGATTTTGGGGGCCAATATTGATAGCCGATATTTAAGAAATCAGATCAGTATTGGCTGATATGTCATCAGATACTGTTGCCATCAGGTGGTAAGTCCGGTGTGGTGGAAGGAGAGGGAAGGGGTGGGTGTGTGTGTGT